GAATTATGGTGTTGGTGAAGAATATTGAATATACCATGGACTGCCAGAAGAACGAACAAATCTGTCTTGGAAGAAGTACAGCCAGAATGCTCCTTGGAAGCAAGGATGGCAAGACTTGGTCTTATGTACTTCGGACATGTTATCAGGAGGGACAGTTCCTGGAGAAGGACACCATGCTTGGTAAACAGAGGGTCAGTGAAAACGAAGAAGACCCTCAATGAGATGGACTGACGCAGTGGCTGCAACAACGGGCTCAAACATAGCAACGACTGTGAGGATGGCGCAGGACCGGGCAGTGTTTCGTTCTGTTGTACGTAGGGTCGCTGTCAGTCAGAACCCACTCGAGGGCACCTAACAACGACAACAACACAACATAGTGCAAGGAGCCCTGGTGGCACAGTTGTTAAGCGCTCTGCTGCTATAAGAATGGCGGTGGCAGTGTCAGACCTCCTCATCTAACTTCGTAAGGGCGGAGGAGAATCATTATGAGCATCAACAGCCCGAGGCTGATTCCAATGAGGCAAGGTCAGACATACCTCCACCCTCCAACCTAGTTCCCCTGTTAGTACACCCAATCAAGTATTGGCTGAAGGCAGAGTTATAGCTCTCTGTAATCGATAATACCCAATATTCATTTCCATCATACATTTAGGTCTGCTTTACAACATTAGGTAGGAGAAACATTCAGTATCCATAGCACATTCAGATAAACACATAACCCTTTTTAAAACATTCCAGTTTCATCTTTCCCACCCCTTGACTATCTTCCCATTCCTATGCATGTGGCCTCTGGCTGGGTGAAACTGGAAGACCGTGGCCCGCTATCAATCATCCCATTTAACCAGCCTGGCCCTTGCCCTGAGCCACTCCAGATGCAGCTTTTCTCCCTCAGCTGTAGCATAACATCTCTCACTTTCCTTTCAGTCATTATAGGTAACAACCAAAGTAACCATCTAGGAATCAAGTTTCACTTCCCACACCCCTTCGTTCTTTCTCTGACAAAGTCCCATGCTTCCATGTGTCTGGAGCCATTGCAATGATCCCACTCCTGACACCAACTGTAAAAATTGTGTGGGGCCAGCGTCTGACCTCCTCTAACTTCACGAAGGGGAGAAAGAATCACCATCAGCATCTGCTCAAAGCTAATGCCTATGAGGCAGAGTCAGACATACCTCCTCTCTCCACCATCTTTACCAATTCTGACACCAACTGTCCCTCCCACGGCACTCTCCACTTCTCTGCTGGGTTCAATAACTCATTGCAATGGCCACACAGAACTCACAGACAATACTCACTATCATGGGGTTTATCAGGGAAGTAACAGGCTACAGTTCAGGATCAGAAATGACTCAGGATACAGTTCTTCAGTCAGGGCAGCCTCTTCTCAGCCATGCTCACAGGCAGGTCTCTCTGGCCCTCGGCGCCTCAGCCCCTCAGGCCCTCGGCCTGGCCTCTGCCTTGCTCAGGCAAGTGTTACAAATCTTTTTAGCTCCTCCAGTAAGTGCCCAGAGGCACCCCACTCCACCAAGAATCCCCAGCCTGAAGGTGCTCAGCTCTCTCGCTCCGTGGGTGAGCACACCCACTGTAGCCACCTGGCTCTGTGGGCCAAGAAGCCCACCATGCCGTCTTGCACTGGTCTCCTCATTCTGCTGCTGCCAGTTCTCTGCCTCGCCTGCTGCCGCTTCTCGCCATCTTGCGCCATCTCTGGTGTTACAGCTCTCTCTCTGTCTTCTGGTTCTAGGAGGTTCTCAGCACAAGGATCCTAGGTCCAAAGGACGCACTCCACTCCTAGCTCTTCTTCTTGGTGGTAGTGGGTCCCCTCCCTCTCTGCTTGCTTCTCTCTCCTTTTCTCTTGTAAGATAAAAGGTATGTCTCAAGTAAGGGCGTGACTTGAATAAGGGTGGCAAGTGTGGTGACTGGGGTAAGGGTGGTGACTTGAGTCACACCCTCTAGTAAGTGACTCAAGATACACCCCACCCTAATCCTGTCTCATTAACATAACGGACAACTCACTCCCAAATGGGACCATAACCACAGACATAGAGGCTAGGATTTACAAGATATCACAAAATGGAAAATAGTTACATCAGATCACAAAATGGAGAATGACTACATCATCACATAACTGTCAAATTATCTCATTACATAACTGCCAAACCACTGAAAATCATGGCCCAGTCAAGTTGACACATAACCTTAACCATCACAGGTTCCATACACCTTAACCCCACCCAATCATTGTGTGGGAGTCACAAAGACGATGGCTAGAAGGGCCATATTGAGTAATTCACTGCACCATAGGTGCTAACCAAAAGGTTGGCGGTTTGAACCCACCAGCCGCTCCACAGGAGAAAGATGTTGGCAGTCTGCTCCCATAAAGATTACAGCTTTGGAAACCCTACGGGGCAGTTCTTCTCTGTCCTATAGGATCGCTATGAGTCGGAATCAACTCGATGGCAACGGGTTTGTTTTTTTTTGTCTTTTGGTTTGTTTTATTCTATAACACAGAGGGGGCAGCAGTGGGGCAGGGGTAGGATTCTCGTCTTCCACACAGGAGACGCAGGTTTGATCCCTAGCCAGAGCACCTCACGTGCAGCCACCCCCTCGTCTTTCAGTGGAGACTTGTGCGTTGCTGTGATGCTGAACAGATATCAGTGGAGCTTCCAGACTGAGATGGACTAGGAAGAAAGGCCTGCCATTCTACTT